ATCTTCCACTTCTGCGAGCAGGCCAAGAAGAATGGTGTCGATATCTTCCGTGTCTTCGATGCGCTGAATGACGTTGAGCAGCTCGAGGTTGGTATCAAGGCTGTCCTCAAGGCCGGTGGTGTTGCCGAGGGTACTGTGTGCTACTCTGGAGACATGCTGAACCCCAAGAAGAAGTACAACCTTGAGTACTACGTCAGCGTAGTTGACAAGATTGTTGGTATGGGCGCTCATATTCTTGGTATTAAGGATATGGCTGGTGTTCTCAAGCCCCGCGCTGCTCGCCTTCTCATTGGTACCATCCGTAAGAAGTACCCCGACCTCCCTATCCACGTTCACACCCACGACTCCGCCGGTACCGGTGTTGCCTCGATGGTGGCGTGCGTTGAGGCAGGTGCCGATGGTATCGATGCTGCTATTGACAGCATGTCTGGTATGACTTCCCAGCCCAGCATTGGTGCTATCCTTGCTTCGCTCGAGGGGACCGATTTCGACGCTGGGCTCGATGTTCACATGATCCGCAATCTCGACGCCTACTGGGCTCAACTCCGCCTTCTCTACTCGCCATTCGAGGCCGGTCTCACTGGCCCTGATCCCGAGGTCTACGAGCACGAGATCCCTGGTGGTCAACTTACCAACCTCATCTTCCAAGCCTCTCAACAAGGTCTCGGTGAACAGTGGGCTCAGACAAAGAAGGCCTACGAACAGGCCAACGACCTCCTTGGCGATATTGTCAAGGTCACACCCACTTCCAAGGTTGTCGGAGACCTGGCTCAGTTCATGGTGTCCAACAAGCTCTCTTACGACGATGTTCTTGCCAAGGCGGAGCAACTCGACTTCCCATCTTCAGTCCTTGAGTTCTTCGAGGGTCTGATGGGTCAACCATACGGTGGTTTCCCTGAGCCTCTTCGATCACATGCTCTCCGTGACCGGAGGAAGATGGACAAGCGACCTGGTCTCTACCTTGATCCCGTAGACGTTGCGAAGGTCAAGGCGGATCTCAAGACCAAGTGGGGTGATGCAACCGAGTGCGATGTTGCCTCGGCGATCATGTACCCTAAGGTCTTCGAGGACTACAAGAAGTGGACCACCAAGTACGGGGATTTGTCGGTCCTGCCAACGCGCTACTTCCTATCGCGCCCAGAGATTGGCGAGGAGTTCCACGTCGAGCTCGAGAAGGGTAAGGTTCTTATTTTGAAGCTCCTTGCCATCGGTCCTCTGTCCGAGCAGACCGGCACTCGTGAGGTCTTCTACGAGATGAACGGCGAGACACGTACCGTCACTGTCGAGGATCAGCATGCGGCTATCGACAATGTCTCGCGACCAAAGGCCGATCCCACCGACAGCAGCCAAGTCGGCTCACCTATGTCTGGTGTCTTGGTTGAGGTTCGCGTCCACGATGGCAGCGAGGTCATGAAGGGTGACCCAGTTGCCATTCTCAGCGCCATGAAGATGGTAAGTCTTCTAGACGTTAGAATATTTGTGTGACTATGCTAACCTCAAATAGGAAATGGTCATCTCCGCTCCTCACTCTGGTAAGGTCAGCAACCTGTCGGTCCGCGAAGGGGATTCGGTCGACTCTGGCGATCTTGTGTGCAAGCTTACCAAGTGAGCATGTTGCAAGAGCACATGTCAATTTGGAATGCTCAGGATTTGTACGAACGGTGTTACACGTCAGAATTGTTGCGCACGGCAGAAGATGACCGATGAGGACCCTAAATGAGAGAAAGAAGATGAAATACCTCACGTAGCACGACGAATGATTTTGAGTATCCAGCAACTCAATGACGGCGTTGGTATGCCGATTCGAAAATTGATCAAAGTGCCTTCTGGAGCTATGTGCATGACCTTGAAGTTTCCATCACATAATGAATCCATAGCGAGGAGGCTGTCAGCACCCTGTCAAAATATTACGCAACATGTAAGCCAGCCCGAGGGTCTTCAGCCTGCAGTGATGCAATGGACCAAATTGCGTATCTGTACACTGTATTACAAGGCATCTAAATCTAAGTCCGCAATCGCTCAGCTCAATAGTGAGCGAATCCGCATGGTATCTTTTCTCGGGTCAAAACGACCCCGAAGGTATACGCAACCCTAAACATCTATCTCCAAATCCCAAACTCCCGGAAATGCAAACGGCGGCTACCTTAGGCTCAATGCAGCCCTATGCGCCATGAATACCAGATCAAAAACGCCTCCCGTTTCCCCGACACTCACGTTCGGCAAATCTCGGAGCCACCCAAACGCTCTTTTACCTCACCCCATATTTCCAAAGTCGAGTTTGCGAGCCACTTTATCCGCACGCCCATTTGCAGGCGTCTCGCCTGGTTTGCGCTTCAAGTCCTCTGCCATCTTCTCTTTCCCACCGCCTAACTTTGGTAGATTTTCCTTGCGCGTGGGACGTGGATTTGACGTCCAGTAGCGATGTTCGAGCGCGGCGCGGGACGAGAGACGTTGGTTTGGATCGGGAGCTAGCATGCCTTTAAGCAGATCGATACCGTCTTCGCCCAAGAGCGCAAAAGTGGTGCGCCACCAGGAGTGTGGCTTTCCGCGTGAGCTTGCGGTGATGCCTTTTGTTGCGCCTGTTTGTTTCTCGGGGGGGATGTAGTGTCGTAGGCTTGTTACGCCGGGCCAGGTTTCCTCGGTCGGTGTGCCGAAGTGATCGCAGATCAGTGCGAGTTGCTGGATATCTGTTTGGCCTGGGAGAAAGTAGCCGCGCAGGCAGAGCTCGGCGATGACGCAGCCGATGCTCCACATGTCTACTGTGCTGCCGTAGTGGTAGGCTCCGTAGAAGAGTTCAGGAGGGCGGTAATAGCGTGTAATTACTTGGTTTGTCATGGCCTTGCCGCCTGGGTCGGCAAAGGAGCGCGCAAGACCGAAATCGGCGATTTTGACGGTGCCGTCGGCGGCGATGAGCAGGTTGTTTCCCTTGATGTCGCGGTGGAGGATGAAGTTCTCGTGGCAGAACCAGATGCCTTGGCAGATCATGAGAGCCCAGGCCTTGATATCTGCGCCGCCGTAGGGTAGCGAAGGTCTGCTCTTCCATAGGCCTTCAATGTCGCCGAGAGGTGCGAATTCGAGGACGAGGTGCAGGTTTTGGTCTTTGTTGGAAAAGACGGCGACTAGCTGAATGATATTGGGATGCGAAAGTTCGGAGAGGTATTTGATTTCACGAATGGGGTCCAGGGCGATGCCGTCTATGAATTCGTCTACGATTTTGATCTTCTTGATGGCGACGAGCTTCGTGGGATTATTCCGATAGTGTGCTTGGTATACATGAGCGTATGTACCCTCTCCCAGCCTCTTGCCCCATACAAATCGGTCCTTCACCTCGTTGTTCATTTGCTCCGCCATATCGAGGCTACTATCGGCGGCGTCGCTGGTTATGCTGACAGCTGGTGCGGCGGCGGATGAGCGTACGGCTCTATTGCTCGAGTTGAGTATAGCAAGGGCTTTTGTTTTGGCAGCGTTAGGAGGTACCTTCTGGCCAGGCGGATTAGGCCGTGGGCTCAGAGGTACGGGTGAGGGTGCCATGATGGGTTCTGCGTGAGCAGACTCGACGTCTGCTGCCTGGAAACGTGCGTGAAGGAGCGGTCGCGTGTAGAGCTGGCGAGGTCCGTAAAGTTCAAGGTGACGCGCGAAACGACTCTTGTTGGAGTGAAGTGTGAGGCGTGGTTAGGGAGAAAATCCTCATGATCATCTATAGCTTGGGTTCTATGCGCCTGAAGGTCCTCCTCTTTCAATCGCCGCGTTTGTGAGTGAAAGAGGCCATGTTCGAAGTGACAATGCGGCGACGAACGCACGGCCCCCGAACCTTAGCGTCGACTCTCGTGAACTTTTGCGGAGAGCTCAACTCACCACCGACGTCTCGAACAGGTTTCAATTACCTACACACGACGATGGCGACAACTACGCGAGGAGCGCCAGGCACGATTGTGGTCTCGAAGGGTGAAGGCGTCCCGAACAGAACGTAAGTAATGATAATGACGGCGCGCACTGTGTCTTAAGCCAACAAAAAATGCAGGGTCGCTAATTGACCATAGTCTCTATGTTCACCGTCTACCAGACAAGCTCCCTAAGGACGATTTAAAGCGGAATCTCTATATGCTATTCGAGACCTATGGCGTCATTCTCGACGTGGTAGCGCTCAAGACCCCGAAGATGCGAGGACAGGCGCACATTGTGTTCCGCGATATCGACTCCTCAACGCAGGCCATGCGCGCATTGCAGGGCTTCACATTCTTCGGCAAGGACATGGTGTGTTCAAATGCCCCGCTATGGCTTTCGGGAATGTGCTAACCGTCCTAAAGCAAATAGCATACGCAAAGACCAAATCGGACACCATAGCAAAACTCGACGGGTCATACAAGATGCCAGAACCTGAGCAAGAAGACGAGCCAGAAAATACGACCGCACAGGCCACAGGCTTCGGCGCAGCACCAGCAAAGGCGGTCCCAGTCAATGCGCCAGATGCCGCGAAGGGTCAGAAGAGAGCACGAGACGAGGAGGAAGAGGAAGAAGAGGAAGAAGAGGAGGATGCTGAAATGGAGATGGACGTCAGTGACGAGGACTCGGATTGAGGAGCAAGTAACAGCGAGAAGACATGAAAAGAGGGAATACGATACCCATGACTGCGACGCGAGGAGGCTCGAAGCGAGTCCTACGTACCGTACCCAGCATCTTGCTTGAATATCTAGGACTATGTACGAAATTCTCGTGGAGGATAGTTCAAATAGGCGCTGACGGTACGCAGAATGCCCAAGGTGACATGAAAGTACCCAATAGGCTAGTTAGATGCCAAAGACGCGAGCATCCGGCGCAAGAGCGAAAGAATGTAGGAGCGTGAATCGAAAAGAAGATACCAATGACAATAATCATATAAGGCCATTCAGCTACTTCGAGAGCATTCATTTCTAGGCGTCCACCGGTTCATCGATCCTTCAGAACGTACGAAAGAAAAGGCAGGCAACATTCTTTTAAGAGTGCAAAAAGGGGCAAAAAGATGGCGGTAGGGGGAATCGAACCCCCGTCTTCACAGAATTACGATAACCACAATGTGATATTCTACCTCTAAACTATACCACCTTGATGGAATTTGATGACTAATCTGAAGAGTAGCTGATATATATTGGTACACAGTATTAAGGATATCATGATCCCGATGATGAGGTAGCCAAATCGTGCGTTCGTACAAGTGGAGTCGCACGAAGAGCAGGTGGGTCTATGAGTCACGGTTTATGTAAAAGAAGCAAACGAGGCGTGGAGGTGGCAAGAAGGAAGTGAAGATATTCTCATGTCTGTTCATGGGAGGAATGATGCACACTGGCCTATACCAGACCACGCGAATGCTCTTTGTTCGTGACAACATTCATTCGCGACGACGAAAAGGCGAGGAAGATGACTTTCGCAAGCCAATTCAAGGCTCGACCAAGATTCCGTTCGCGCCACTTTCGCTTTGTGCGAAGATCAAAGTGTCAAAGCGTCTGACGATGTACACGCTCTACTATCTCCTTGCTGTCCCATAAAGTGCAGAAGCACGGCTCGGCTCGCAAAGAGGGTGCAGTGGGACAAGTATACAGCAAAACTTGATTGCATTGACCAAAATAGAGCGAAATGGGCAGGTCTATCGGAGCAAACAAGTCGTCCGACGATTCGCACACACGTCGGATTCATGGGTATACAGGGTCAACAAAAAGGAACAGACATGTGGTGGAGGCCCGACATCCCCTCGGGGGACTATCGTTGGAACAGCCTCCCGAGCTCGTCAATCTTATGTTTGCTATAGCTGACTTTCCTGAAAGAGTGCACAGATTATCGACAGTATGTAGGAGGGCGGCATTGGCATCCGGCCTTAACAACGCACCGCTTGACACGAAGTTTAGCACAAGTGGTTGTTCAGATATATTGCATCTCGAGCTAGAGTTTGTGTTTGATCATCATAGTGGGTGTAGTGGTACGGGCATCTGCGTGATCCGAACATACGTATGTTGGGATCATGCATGTAGGCAACACTTGGTGCACTTCCCAAACCGACACCTCATGAACTTGCCAAATAGATAATGCACGAACCTTTGTTCATGAACTTCCTCAATAGGCAATACTTCGTGCAATTGGCAAAATGGCACTTCATGAAGTTCCCAAGAGAGTAGTGCACGAAGTTCATGAGCTTCTCGAGAAGAAAGTGCACTAACCTCTATACATGAACAATGGGCACTCCATTGACCTCCTAGATAGACACTTCGTGAAAGATTCAAAAGTACATGCACTTCCCAAAGTGCTCCATCCAGAGCGCACTTACCTTTATGCCCTCGATCACGTCCATATGCTGAGCTATCGTGGTATAGTCGGCCTTTGTGTCCTTTTGGCAGGCAGTGACTATGGCAGTAAGCTTCACGCTGATGGCAGACATGACGAGCATGAGCTCGGGTTCAATATTGTAGACTGCAGATGATCTCAATCATCAGAAATGAGAGGAATAGGTTCGAGCAGACACAATTTCGAGGAGTGGAGATTGTATGTTCGAGGAAGAATAGATGGGTGAGTACACCTGTGTTTTAGCTTTGCTCTTCTTCGCTAAGGGTCGGCGGAGAGATCACATCTGTCAGCATTCGCAAAGACAGTAAGTAGCTCCTGCTCGTCGCCAGAGCTTATTAATGCGGCGCGGTCGTATACATACTATTTTGAAGATTTCAGTGCACACCGTGTACGGTAGTCAAGGTGGTACAGCACTTCAAGAATGCCCGATCGTGTCTCTTGAACTGTGCGAAGGTATTTGCAAGGGGTCATGTGCAAGATCGAAGGCAATGAAACGTAGGTAGAGATGATTCGATGTGATTCATTTTGAGGCACGCACGCCAGCGATGTCCTTCCGCACCTTTTCCAATGCTAGGCATGACACTATCCAACTCCTTGATGGATATCCCTATTTTTTCCACCCCGACTCTTCCAAGATAGCTAAACGTCGCCCGATGCTGCCGAAGCAAACACAACTACAAAAGAGGACACTGCCTACCCAGGTAACGACAGCCAAATTGTCGTAGCTAACGACTCCAGCAAACAAGTCCTGGTCTGTTGTTGTGATGGACTGTTTACTTCCAAAACTGCTTCCGCCAGCTCTCGGTAGCTGAGTGGTATTGGTTGTGGATGGCAATGACGGCGATGGGAGTGCATCGGGATTCGAGAGAAAGATGAAGGATGTGAGGACGGAGGTAACGACGAGGGAGCATGAGAGCCCAGGTTTCGAACGATCCAGTATGTACCAGAGTGCAGGGTTGACGAGGGCGAGTGTGACGGTTAATTGTAGCGTAGATTGCCATGGAAGGCGACGCTGGTTTGTGTGAGCTTGAATTGCCGTGATGTGGCACTGCCGGGATAGTATAAACTCACAATAGCGAACGCGATCCCGACGAAAGCAGCTACGCTCCTGACCACATCGTTGATCTGCTCGCTGATGGGTGACTCGGGTTCTGTCTCTGGCGATTTCTCCTCGCTCGAGTCCTCGATGGGCTGTCCACTCCAGGCAAGATCGACGTACGGCAGCAGGCTCCCCAATGCGACACCAAAGAGCCCCCAGCTAGCAAGATACATCCAGCTCCCTCTGTTCAGCGCTTCCACGTGGACCGCCTCGAGTTGCCGCGAATCGTGTAGGTGCGAAACGATAATTCCATAGATGACACCGAACAGAAGCAACGCTGCCAACTTGCTCGCGAGCACCGCATACTTCCAGGCGCCGTGCCTGGCTCGTCTTGGTGATTGAGCTTTCCTCCTTCCCTCGACCCTGCCATTCTGTGCGCCTCGTCGAGCTTGGCTCTTCATGCTTATCCCAGCGTCTGGACTGCCTATGCCACTGTCCCAGGCATGAAGCCCCATACTTCCATGCGCTGGTGTCTCTGCGCCTGTGCCCCATGGTGTTTCTGCCATGCTTGCTGCACTTGAGCCCACATCGTCGTATATCCCAAACAGTGTACTGCTCGTCATGTTTAAGAAGCTCTTGTTGCGCGAGGGTAGTCCCTGCTCCCGCTCATTGTCGTCTGCATCTTCGTTCCTTGAATTGTATGTCCGCAACAAGCGAGCATTCAGCTGCGAAAGGAAGTCCGAGGACCGTCGAGTTTCATTTGCGATGGGGGGTGTTGCTTGCGTGAAAGCGTGTGTCGGTGAGTCTGCGGCATCATTGTGCTGTGCGTCGAACGTTCGGCGAGGAATTGGGCGGTAGATATGAGGTGGTTGTTGCTCCGCGTTCGAAGGCGCGAAGGTGTCGTCTGCCATGCTTCGCGTCGCGGAACGGAGCCGAACCAGGGTCCTGAGGCTACAATTCGTGTACGTCGCAAATATGCTTCTGATTACAATGTCATAGGAAATGGTGAAGAGTGAGAGTAAGAAGAAGAAAGGAAGAATGCAGGTAAGGCCGAGCCAATTCTCCGCGCCCGTAAATTGTTGCAGTATCTGGAATGGAAGGTAGGTCGGAAACTGTAAGCAGGGTCAATGCACGTGAGCAGCAAATGGTTGCTTGGCTATATGCGAGTCATGTATTGGATGCTTCGCAAGCCTACCTCGTATAGGACGTTAGAGATTGCAAATTGAAGTGTTGCGAGACGAGAAAGAGGGGACAGGCACATGTAAGCTAAATTCCTGTCTGACGTTGTTCCGCATGTGTTTAGATGTTTCTTTCATGTGAAAATCGGCTGACTGGTCCGATCCATGAATGTCGATCGTCCGCAGACTCCCGTGTTCCCAACAATTATGATGATGGCTGCATTGTATCCATTGTATGTGCTTATGTGGCTATCTTTCGGAAGATGGTGCTGCTACACAAAGCCCACTATCTCCAACAAATGCTAGTATCGTAATACTACGGCTGCCCGAAAGGCTGTCTAAATACAGCCGAAGGAGTCCTTTTTGCGTCTAACCTCACCAACTCCTGCTTGAAATGCTCAAGAACGTGATGCATAGAGTCTTGTCCTCTCGCCATCATTTGAACTCGTCCTAACGTTACAAGCCTCCTCGAGGCAGTCCTATTTCTGTCGTGGCATTTCTCAATCGACAATTGGCTGCAAAATGTTTCCACTATTATGCGTTAGCACACACCTGCAGCTGCAAAAGCAGGAGAACTTACGCTACGATGTTCGCCCAACCGATGAGACGCCAGTGCTTCTCGATACGTCGGGATAGAGCGACCTTCTCACCAATCTCTGTGCATGCAGGCGATGTAAGCGACAGGCGGGCTGCATCAGCCTTTACAGCGATGACCTTGGCGCCCGTTGCAGTCGAACCAATGTTGACCATCTGTGCACTCATTAGCTCTAATCCGGCATCTCAAACGTTCAAATATACCAGGACTTCGTTCTTTGCAAGTTTGGCGACCTTGGCCTGCTTGCCGTCTGCAGTCTTTACACCGAGCAATCTCCGGAGCAAGAAGTAGTTGACCTCGAGCTCAGTGTAGATGTTTGGCAGATGTCCACGAAGACCCAGAACGAATCCAACCAAACGATCTGCACGACACAGGGTGGGGTCAACGCGTGTACCCACACCAATCAAGCCACCAGGAACCGCGAACTTCAGGTCATTGTGCTCTGCGAACAACGAAACGACTCTTGAGAAGATGGGCTTGCACTGGATCTTGCCAGCGCTGTCTTTTGACACGATACCTGGCCTGATCTCAATCTCATCACCCAGCTTGAGCACACCAGTCAAGATGCTGCCACCAGCAACACCTCCCTTCAGCTCGTCGATCTCGGCACCTGGCTTGTTGACGTCGAATGATCGGATAACGATCATGTGAGGCTTCGCGGAGAAGTCCCGCACTGGGACTGGGATCTTGCTGATGAGGTGCTCGTTGATGGAATCGATATTGAATTTCAACTGCGCGGAGATGGGGATGATAGGTGAGCCGTCGGCCACCGTTCCGCGAATAAACTTCAGGATAGATTCGTAGTGAGCGGCAGCACTGTCTTCCCGCATGAGGTCGACCTTGTTCTGGAGGATGATGATATGGTTGAGCTTCATGATCTCGATGGCAGCCAAATGCTCGCTCGTCTGTGGTTGCGGGCAAGATTCGTTTCCAGCGATGAGAAGTAGTGCAGCGTCCA